TTGCTCCTGACATTCATACAAAATATGTCAGTACACGAATCAATTCCCAGCTTTCTCATGGATCCCAGGTTAGCATCTTAACTTCAGAGTAGAAAGCAGAAATGGGAGAGCATTTTTAGCTTTAACTCTGTTGTATTTTATTAGTGCTTTTAAACACAGTGGTTCTGGAAAGTTTTTCTGAACCCCATATTATCAAGGTATTGCTCTCTCTGACTCAGTGATGTCTCATATAAAATGGAGTATCCCAACATGTGGATATCCTATCCATAAATTTCCCAACCTTCACACCTCTTATGGTTCTTGCCTGAACTCAGATTTGTCCTTTTTCTGACTGAGGATAGGAATGTGAAACAGTTTATTTCATAGTTTAAATTATTAATTTCTCCTGGGGCTATAGATATTCTGACAATAAAGCAGAGAAGAAAGGAGATGAAGCTTCTCTTAATTCTGGTAGAATTGTCCTCTTTTCAAAACTATTCACAACTTGGCATTTAGGATCAGAGAAGTTTAAGATTTAATTCCTGTAAGCTGAATTGAAAACTAAATATAAGGTGCACAGTGCAAATGGATGTCATAACACTCAAACAGAAAGAAAGATTTGGCTTTCTTCAGCAGCTTTGTCTGGATCTGGTCCATCTTCTGCTTTGTTTTTTCTTACCTGTGCGTCAAGAAAATTGTTTATACAAGGCCACAAGACATTTTAGTCTCAAACTAAGTGATCTTTTTTTCATTACTCTCTGAACTAAGTGGAAAAATAAAACCCCAACTGCAAAACACTTGTTTTTCAGAATAAAAATTATTTCTATTGCTTAATTTAGAAGCTAAATTAAAAAATCAATTCTTTGCACAGCCATAACATATAAGCAGACTCATTGACATAAATGCCCTGAATTACACAAATTAATTGAAAACTATATTCCTCTGTTATTGCTGAGATCTGTCAGAAGTAATTTTAGAATCACTTATTGATCTTTCATTATTCAGATTTAGAAAAGCACTCATTTGCTAATCTGAACACTTCTGAGTTCATTCACAATAAAACTAATTACCATACCCATAGCAAAAATTAAACACTCAGAAAAAACACCAATAAATTACCCTAAATATTACTTCAATATAGAAAGAGATTTCCTCCATCAGAATTTTTGGATTTTTTTTTTTTATTTTTTTTTTGGAGGGTGAGCTACTATTTTGGGTGGCCTTTTAAAAATGTTTTTAAACCCCAATATCTTCACCCCTTTTGTTCAGGATAATGACAGAAATGTATTACAAAAGTACTAAATAACACACTTCTCTAAGACAAAAAATTAACTGTATAGTCATATATGCATAACAAAACATGAGTGTTAGTTGATAAACAAGAAATCAGTTTCATTGTGTTTACTCAAAACATGACTATAATTTTCCAACTTTCTCTCCTTTAAAAATTCTCACTCAGAAATGAATGGAAATTGAATTCATTATATATACATCCAATTTGCCTTATACATCCTTTGGGTGTCATTGCCTTATTTTATCTGACAATTCTAAATGATCCATTTCACTGAAGAAGACCAGTAGGCAGGGTTTTTAAATGAATATTACTTCTTTTACTGTATTTGTGTAACTCTGGTTAGCTAATTTTTTATGAAGTCTATAAGGAACTGAGAATATAGCTGTTCTATGTGGGAGAAAAAACTCACTGAATACCAGTATTTCCTATCAAAGCAGAAAACAGCTGAACATTGAGTATTTCTACCTGTGCCAAGTCTGGGCACTCAGCAAAAAGATGTTGGACACGTAAAAAAATATCTTCTCCATGAATATCCCAGCTCAGCTGCCAGCTGAGGGCAGGTCTGCAGTAGCTGCCTGGGTTCATTAGCTGTAGCTTCGGGTTTGTCAAGGAATAAAACACTCCTCTTCCTGCAAAGCTTTATGGGGGTTCACACCATCATAAAGAAGATTCTTATAACTTATACAGAATACAAGTACAGCAAAATTGTGCAACTTTTTAGCCTCTACTGGATATTATATCCACACTACGGGATTCTTTCAAAGCACACTTTTCAAATGGAGCATGTAGCGACTTTGGAGTACTTTAGCAACCTGCAGTTAAGTGAAGTGACCAACAAAGTTTTGTCTTTATGTTTAGGTGCATACACTGGTGGGCAGGCAGGACCAGGCTGAAATTTCTCATTGCATCTAAAATGAAATCAGGGAAGATATTGCAAACCTCATCTTTTCCATTTTTGTCACTGTTCAATGTTGAAGACTGTAGAAGACAGTCTATTACTTTAGCAGGCATCACATGTTTTTTTGGTTTTATTTTCTTCAGTTTAATGAATGATGTGCTTATCCAATGCATAAGTATCACCCAAAATTTGAAGTCTGTGACAAGTTATTGCACTACAGGACATAGGGTGGATATAATGAACTATTGAGCAGCCAAAAATCAGCTAAAGGCATTATGATAAATCTGTTTTGAGTCCACTGATTCATTTTCACACAAAAAAGGATGGCAATGTGCAAATGAGGGAAAAGTCAGAAATAAAAACGTTTCATTTACCTTTAAATTTATATTTTTAAACTGCTGCTGTTTATACTTGTACCAACACTCTGGCTTGTCTTTATAGTCAATAGAGACAAATGGGTAGTTCCAGAAGACAATTCCATCAACCCATTTTAGACCTTTTTGATGAAATTAGCTGTGTCCTTCAGATAGCTATTTCTAATCACTGAGAAAAAGCCAAGATGCTTAGCTCCAATGTAGCTACTACTTTGCAAGTTTCATTAGGTTTTATAAAGCAAACCTAGAGTAAATGAAATTCAAAATGCCACTGGCAAAGGCTCCTCCCCATGATGAAACTCTTTAATGTGGAATGTTTGTGACCTTGTTGAACTTTCCTCTGATCTTGCTGCACGCACAGAACACTATAAGCCCTTTGGAAGGGGCTGCTGTATTTCATTGTGTCTGTCACCACAACCCATCACTGTTTGAAAGATAAAGGATAGGAGGAGAAGCTTGCAATCAGAGACGACAGGTTCTCTTAGCCATTCCTTTGTCCTCAGCCAAGAGCAGATATATTTTCTATCAGATTTGTCAAATTGTACTTTTCTATGAAAGTACTTAAACGATTTCATGAATTATTATTGAAAAAAACCCTAAAAAAACAAACCCAAAGCATACCAGGAAACCTAACTCTCTGATATTCAGCTACCCCAGATTTGTGAATAGGTGGGATCTTGAGAATAAAAATCCTGACAAAGCTGTATTCAAATGTATGGTTATTTTGGCTATTCTAACTGCAGTAGTGGTAAATGTTCCTACATTCCATTTTATGGCCATGATGATTTTATATAAAACCTATACCCATTATTCCAGTGATTTGTATGGAAATATCTGTAGATCTAGATCTACAGAAATATCAGTAGATCTAGATGGTTAATGTGCAGGCTAATGGGAGCTACAGGGCAATAGTCTGCCCTTAATTCACTGACTTCTTTCAAAGATCAGCTCTCTGTGCATCCTATTAATCTACTAATGACTCAAACCATTTCTAAAGTATACAGGCATCAATTCCGGCCTTGAAAGAATTTGTTTGCATCTCACTGGTTTTCTTCAATGTCAAAGCACTATCCACAGCATCAAGCTAGTCTATTTTAAGAAGTGCTTTCAGAAAAGATGTCCTTATCAGGAAAGATTTTTTATTTAATAGGAAAAAAATATACACAGTATACAGCACAGATGAACTAAAATTTAATGAAAAAAATTCTACTGACATTAAAAAAAAAATCCCAAACAGTTTGTTTCTTATCCAATACCACACCACAGTTCTTACAGGATATTTTCATACTGGAAAATTGAAAAGGTTTAGAGGACTGGTTCTGACATCATTTGTTTCTATAAACAACCCTGACTACTACCTACACGGAGTAATGAGGAAGGTTGCAGACAGCTATGGGTTCTCTGCATAGATCTTTTTGCATTTCCATTCTTCCTTTTTGAGTTATTTAATTGCCTAGTTTTCAATTGCCATATCTTTGTGTGAGGGTCTGCAATTATCCTGTAAAGCAATAATATCCTTCATAAATAGAATGGGAAAAATATTTTTTTCAGACAGCAGAGATAACACAGCTTATACATTACATCTGAAAAATGCACTTTTCAGAGAGAAACAGGGTTTTCATAAATAGGGTTTTTTTGTTGTTGTTGAAAGAACAATTAAAGTACACAAGACACAGCAGAGTATACTAACTAGCCCACATGAAGAGTGGGTTAGTTACGATACTAAAAACAGTATAGCTGGGATAACAGATTCTAATTCCCAGCCAAAGAAGGAAAGCCAGGACTACCTTTGCATGAACTGTAATGTGCCTGTGGAGTCACAGCCTCAATTTAATGGCCTCACATTGAAAAAAAACTAAAATTACTGAGTATATGATGTATTTGAGGGCAAAGATTGTTTATGATGTACCTAGTACACACAAAGTTTTAGGACTAAGTGCATCTTAAAAGCCAATTTTTTAAGTAATTTGGCTATGATAATTTTTATTTGAAAAGTTGCACAAGGAACTTCAAGGACTTTGTTTCCAACTAGTGTTCTAGCTCTTTTCTGGATATGTAAGATTCTTATATAGCTTGTTCATTCTATATTAGAGCAACTAATATCTGAGATTTAAGTCCTCCTCCTCTTGGCCTCATCTTCCTCTATTCAGGCATGCTGGCTGGCTGCCACTGCTCTGCAGCTGTCCAGGCTCTGTCTCTGTAGCTGGGGCAGTAGCCACACTCCGTAACCTTAGTTTGACCATAACTTGGACTGTGTCTTTTGCTATTGCTTTCTGATATTATTGTATGGTTGGATTCCAACCTACTTCACAGTACATTAGCTGGAGATCTTCAGATTAACCCAATGCTCTAAAAAACCCTGGGGTGTCAGAGCTATGAGAAGAAAAAATCTCTAGGACAAGGGATGAATGACTCCACAGTAGACAGAATCACCACAAAGGAAAAAAAAAAAAACTATGTTTAAAGCAAAGTATTTTATTCACATGGAACTGTAAGGTATATAAGACATTTAGACACAAAATTCAGAATAATCTTGTACATCAATAAATGCAGTGCCAGATTATTTCAGGTTACCAACTCAAATAATCCTGTTAATATCTTAAATGCATTGAATAAGCCTGAGAGATCCAAGATGTATATTGATACGCATTTTCAGAACAAAAGCACACGAAGATGTCCAAGATTGCTTTACTTGGCCAATAGCTTCGGGTACTGTTGTATGACAGGCACGAGTCACAGCAAATGACAAGCAAAGATCCAACAATTTTACAGAATCCTTATTTGTCTTTAGGAGAAACTCAGGAAAGATTTTTTTCACTATTTTTGTCAGGAACTTAGTGATTAAAATATATTTTTAAATGTATTTTTCAAGTTGCTGGGAATTTCATCCTGTAGAGAACTGCAAGACGGAAACTGACAGTACATTTCACATGATGCCATAATTTTTGTCTGTGTTCAGATGGAGATTAGAGAACAACTCAGTTCCCTCTGAAACATCTGCAAAGCAGTTCATCAGCAGAAAAGGCACCAGAAGGGTCCACAGGTTGCAATGATTCTTGTCTAGAACAAGAGTTTACACATATAATTTACACCTGAGCCCTTCCATATAGATGCCTAAGATATCTCAATCTGCACCTAAGTCTCACCCTAGACCACAATAAATTGTTGCAGAATTCAAGCTATTTGATAAGAAGTAGATATTTGAATATCAATTCAGGATCAGACTTGTGCATCCACAGACATTACGGACAATGAGACAATGATCTGGGCACTGATCTGGGAGTTGAGTTCATCTGTGACCTACCTGAGTTGTTACCTCACTTCTAGAAGACAGGCTTGTTATCTCTCCCAGGTTTCCAGATGGCTTTTCAATTATCTATTTATCTTGTACAGTTCTACTGACTAACTGCTTCAGCTGATAACTGCCAGCTGCCTCAAATTCTCTGTGATGCCTGATAGAGATCTTTCACAGTCAAGTCTGTTCCTGTAGTTACAGTGTGCTGTGTTCTGTGTCACCATGAGCTGCAAAAGAAAACAATTTGATTGGGCCATGTTTGATGATTACAGAGAAAACTAATCTCAATGGAAAGACATGCTCTGGATATATATTATCATAGAATTCTACGTTCTAGTTATATTTATATGAACTTTATCACAAAATTTGAAGTACATGTATCTCTTTCACTAACAGGACTAGGATTAAATGTCATGCTAGTGACAGAGCTATGAAGGTGGAGTGAGACACAGGCTGACAATTAATAGCTGTTGATATAAAGCTTACAGAAGGTGATCTAGATGATTTGCCAATATAATACTTATGTTATTATCCTGTGCATCACTGGGAGATGGCAAGATGATGTGGTGTGTGTACACACCACACCAGCCTGCTTATGGACATGAGAGAAGTTTGAGATGTGTATTTATGGAACCGAAATCAGTGCAGAAAAAATAGAACACAATCAGAATGTAATCTGACATAGGCCAGAACAACACATGATCGTAAACATGCACCCTTTAGATTCAGACTCTGGGACAAGAAGACACAACCTGTAATGCAGCAGAGAAGTTCTAAGCTTAGAAGAGGACCTGTAAAATTCTGGATTCAGTTAAAACTGTTTGATAAGTGACATGTGGAGAAAAGGGACTATTCCAGTAGGGGACTTACCCAAACAGTTAGTGGAGAGACTTACAAAAAGTACCATCAGGTATTCAACACCTGTAGCATTTTCTTTTTCTCTAGTGAAAAAATAATATTTAAAAGTCTTTTATGTTAATATCACTAAAAAAACCTCAAACGGTTACAATCAAAACAGGATAGTGTTTAACATGCAACCTCACAAAAATCTATCAACTGGACACAAAATTAACAACAAGAGAGGTGGCTCTTGTTGTACATATATTAGTTGACTTAATTTCTTCTTAACAATTAGTTCACTGAAAAATACATAATGTCACACTCCCATATGCAGACACACATGCACACAGAGCTCTAAACCTTTAGCAGCTTCTTAAAATTCACACAGAAATTATTTATTGCTATCACTCATTAAGCATTTTTAATCTGAATAATGGACTTCCTACAGCAAAGGTGCTGGGAAGATGCAACATGCCAACAGAGAGAACCAAATCACTTCACCAAATCTCCCCTTCACTCTGCAAACACTCACATAGGAGCGTATTCACTTAAAAACATGATATCACTGCAATCAAAGTCCAAGTAAAAAATTAATTCATACATCCACTTCTAGTCTGAGGGCTCATGGTAATTTTTGTGACTTTAAGCAGGCTGGAGGCACTTAGCATGCTGTATCTGAACTTGTGCCAACTGTAGGCCAGAATCCCACGCTGTTATACCTGCAGCTAGCTTATGTTCAGACTCTGCCTTGGACTAGAAAGCACCAAATGGAATGAAACACACAGCAACAGTGAGTCAATGAAGATCACCTTTCCTACAGAGAGTGGTCTGAAAAGAGGCGGTATTGAAAGAAGGTGCATGAGGAACATAGGCATATACAGAAGATGTTTATGCCTGTAATGGTTAACATATGATAACACAATCTTCTATTTCTATATAGATGTTAATGTATGCAGTATAATATAAATACAAATTTATTTACAAGCACAGAATACATCAACTTGCACTGTATGCAGCACTGTCACATACAGCATACAGCATGCAGTATGTACTATGTAGTACAGCAAATACTGCCTGTGTGATATACCTTATCATATCTAAGTGTAAAATTATAAATTTTACACTGTGTAAATTTATTGTGTATAATATATAGCATACATTTATAAATTAAAAATATATATCTATATAAATATATATTTATTTTAGTTAGGGCATATCCATGGAGGAAATAGAAGGTTGCAGTGAAAATGAGGAATCATTTCTATCCTCATGTATTTATTTTTCAGCTCTCTTTGAAAATGACTTTCTTAAAATTATATAAAACAGCAAGCAAACTTTACTATTTCACTGTAAAGGGCATTGTAGACATGCTTTGCATTTTACAGGAACTGTCTGAGGTCCTACAATTTTCTTCAGAGCATAAAAAGTGCTTGAATATGGAAGACAGATTTAGACTGCTGTAATGCCACGTATACAACTTTAATTTAGCACTGGAAGCTTTTTTAACAAAATATTTTACATCAAATTTCATCCTAATTTCAACATTTTTTACCCCGTAGTTGTGGGCCTGCTTGGAAGAGTTTGACCATGGGCATCAGTACCCAAGTTTTCTTTGCATGCATGTCCAAGAGTCATGGCTCAGTGTCTGTTCTCCCCTCCAACAAACAGGTTTAGTGGGCCCCTCGTGGGTCCTTGGTCTTCCAAAGCCTGTAGTGCAACCTGCTGCCAGGACAGACACTGTGACTGGGAGCGTGCTGGGCACAGGCTCCTTTGACATACTTGCACAAGAGATGACTGATATTGCTACCTAAATTAATGCAACTGTGACTTCCACTTGCTGCCCTGCAGTCACAATGTTTGCTCCTAAAAATGCCCCTGGACTCAGATATGTAACTCAAGCACTACTTAGCTTATGCAATGTCACAAATTGACTCCACATTGCTCAGTTTGTTTTGGGAAGAACAGTGTTTGCCCTCTCTACCAGTGAACTACTTACTGTTCCTTATGAGTACAGCGCCAGAATCTGCCCAGAGACTGTAGGGAGCTGGCTGCTTTACAGACATGTGGCAAAGTATTCCCTCCTGAATCTGAAAGACTTGGCCTGGACATGGATGATACATAAATAATAACAATAACATCCTAAAGAATGAAGGAATGCTTAAGTGTTACATTACTGATATTTCCAGGTCTGTGTCTTCTGATTTAATGGTTACAGTTTAAAACATAGAAAAGTTCTTAACACTTCTCACATAAAAGGAAATAAACTATTAAGTAAAGGAGACAAAGAAACCTGATTTCTATTAATTTGTGCTTCAGACAGCAGTTGTCTGTGGATGGATTCTTTGATGTAATTGCCATTCATGACGCTGGTGTTTTGAGGGGTCATATGCTCCTTTCCAGATTATTTTTCAAAAACATTTTGTTAATTGTGGCTGATTCTAGCTAAGGGATTCAAATGTTATTAATGGAAAATAAACAGACAAAAATAAACTGCACAAGCTCAAGTCTTTCCTTCCTTTACTAGCAGCTCAGGAAACTACAATACTCCCAACTACAGCCCAAGTTCTCCTCCTGTCCATGCACAGGCAGTCTCAGTTCCTAACATGCCTGTAATGATCCTGATCATAAAGCTCTAACAAAGTGCTTGAAATCAAGTTTTTTGTTGTTGTTTTTTTTTTTTTTTAAATAGTATTAACATTTCCTTTTGTACATTTTTCCTTTTGTACATTTCGCAACACAATGTCAACAACTATAATTACTCTAGTCTCCTCACAGTACTTAAGTACTGCACTTAATGTGCAACATTTAGACGAGTATTATGGTAAAGGCTTTAATTATGCAATTATATGATTATGTTTATCTATTTCCTCACAGGATTTTATCCATAAGGACAGGATTTCTGGATAATTTAGCGGTCACTTTCATAAATATGTTCATCATACATACAAAACAGTTTTCATAATTTTTTTTTTTTCTTAAGGAGACAAAAAGACGGCAAATGCTGAGGTGACCAAGATTTTCATCAGCAACTCGATGCTGACACGCCAAATTTCAGTTCCCGTTTCAGAAGGCGAAGATCCTGCGTTGAGCACAAAACGAATTCGGTTAATTTACTTTTTATTTTCCCCCTAACACGAGGAAAGTGGTACACCGTTTTTTAGACTTTCGGTGGACCAGAGAGCGCAAACTGCCTTTAATGTGAAATACTTGGCACCCTCAGTGGTGAACAGGAGGACATCGGGGCGGGACGGCGGGCATGGACATGTTTCGCGCTGCCAGAACTGAGGTGCCCCCCGGCCGCAACTCGGGGCGAGGGGGCTGCGGGTGCTGCGGGGCGGGCAGGTGGGCGGGGAGCGCTCACGGCTGCCCCCAGGGGCACAGGGCCCGCCCGCCCCAGCCCAGAACATCCCGTCCTGTCCCACCTCTCGCGCTGGCGCCGGCTCCATCCCCTTCTCCCCGGGCCGGCGCCGCGCCCCCGCCAGCCCCGCGGAGCCGGGTTGGGCAGCCCGGGAGGCGTCTCCTCTGCAGCCCCCGCCCCCCCGCGCCGGTGCTGAAGCGCCTCGGCCGCTCCCCGGCAGCACCCCCGGGACAGCAGCACCCGGGCCTCCCTCCCTGCTGCCCGGCCCGGGCTCTCCCGCCGCTACTCCGCTGCAGAGGACACCTCATGGAAAATAAATAAATTAATTCCCCCACTCACCCCCGCGGCCGGGAGAGGAGCCGGCGGCGGCCGCGGGATTAGATCCAGTCCGAGCTAGAGACCAGGTAATGTAACCTACCCGCCAGGAGGGAGGAGGAGGACGAGCAGCGAGGCCGCTGAGGTTGTCCCCACCGGGGAGGGCTCCGGGGGACGGAGAAGTGCGTGCCGCAGCCGGGGCGCGCCGGCGTGGCCCCGGCGGGCTGCGTGTGAGCGGCTGCCCCCGCGCTGTGCGCGCCTCACTGTCAGTCACACACACACACGAGCCGCCGCCCACTCAGGGATGGATGGATGGATGGATGGATGGATGGATGGATGGATGGATGGATGGAGCGTGCTGTCATCCCCCAGTACCAAAGCAGCCACCGCAGGGAGACGCCGCACGCCCCGCCGTGCCCCGCTGCCACGCGGGCGGGCGGCTCTGACAGCGGGGCAGGGAGGGAGGCGGGCGGCGGGGCCGGGCTGAGGCCGCAGCTCTGAGGGGAGCGAGGCGCGATCCCGCCCCCGCGCCGCTGCGCGCATCCCCGCGGGGCGGCGAGCCTGCCAGCGCGCCCACCCCGAGCGGAGCCGCCGTCCGCGGCCCCCGCCCCGGCGAGCTCCGCCGGGAAATGTGGGCGGAGAGCAGCGGAGCACGAACCGTGCCGCCGCGCTTGCCGTCATCAGAAACGGGCCTGCAAGAAGCTGTGAGCGAGGTGACCTTGGAGAAGGTGGATCTGGATGGAGCCGCTATTGCTCCGTGCCAGCTGCAGTTCCGTGCTCTGGGCTGCTCCGAGTTCCGCGACTCTTGCGTTATATCGAAACGCTGTTGGCTTTAGTTAATGGTTGTGTACAGAGGTCCTTGTATAAGTAGTACCAGAGCCACGAAAGTAGTCCTCCATAATTCTCTTTACTTGACCTCCACTAGCACACAGTCCTTGAAGGGAATGGTCTGAAGAGCTCCCTGGCAGGGAGCAATCGCTCAGGGGTCATCGTTGTTGAAGTGGCCCCTAAAAGGCAGTTAGTCTTAGGAGAGTCTGAGAAGTCGCCCTGTTCACGTTTCAGAGACCAAAGTGTCCCCTGGTACTTCTGGGCAAGCACATTACCTTTCAGTCCTACAGGGTCACAGAACTGACACAAATTCTCCATTGCCTTTCCAGTGAGGTCGATAGGAAAACAAAACAAAGCAGAAAAACATTTGCAGATACCTGGGTTTTCCAGTGCCAGCCTGAGCTTTCAATAAAGGAGTCTTACTGAGATAGTTGAAAGCTGCTTTGGTAAAAAGAGAGAAGCTAAAGAAAGCTGGTATCTCATGAAGGTGTCCATTCTAGTTTTGTTGGTCTCCATAATAATTGCTCATGTTTCCATAGTGGTTCCCATCTGTGGTTCTCAAGTTACTGATCAAATAGTAATGAAAAGGTGTTTGTGGCTTCCAGTGCAGGAATGGGGCCATAAACTTAATCACACACCAACTGAGCCAACAACTTGAGAGCCTTAGCTCTGTCTAAATGAATCATGACAGACAAGTTAGTCATTGAGACAGAGGGATGTACACTTATATTTGAAAGAAGGAGGAAACTGACACATAATTCAAGTGAGATATACTTTTATGTACAAGTAGTAAATATGAGAATAACGCATAAGTGATTCTCTTTTTATTTTTAAATTGGATCTCTCCTCTCTTCTTGCATTATTGTCTGCTAACTTTGAATAGTGTACTTGAGCCTGAGTGCTGAACTCCTTCTACATGATGGAATACATTTAGAGAAAAGATGATACTTGAGATGTTTCTATTATTTGTGCAATCCATTACTGAACTGTAACTCCATGTGACTGCAAGGCCCCAGCTAGCTTAGTTTGCAGCATAGTGTTTACAATGTAAGTGGCTTCAAAGCAAAACAGCTGATCATTTTGAATTAGCAGAGGGGTGGCTGGAGGTTATGTTTTTATTTTATTGCAGCTTTAAATAATTTTGTCAGTGAAGAAAACCTGATTTTATTTGTATTATGGAAATGTAGAATAGCCTAAATACAAAGTGTGGTCTTCATGGAACGTCTTTATGCATGGTGGAAAACCAAAATCACACGTTTTATAGAAAGGAAAACGATTTGGATTGTGTTGTGATATGCTGATCTGAACAGATATTTTATGTGCAAAGGGGGAGACTTTGAAATTACAAAAGGAAATATCAAAAAAGAAAGCAGAGTGTAGTTAAGTATTGTGGCTCTGCAGCTGCAGTAAGGAGTGAAGGAGTTATTTTTCAGCAATTTTCATTGTAAATAAATGCATTGCTATAGTATATTTAAAAAGCTTCCTTCCAGCTCTTCAACCTAATTTATCTGTTATTTCTCTGTAGTGTATACTGTATTTAAGCTCACTCAACTCTTGCTATGGCAGAATTCTTCTTCTAGAATACAGGTTTTATCAGGGCAGGAGAACTTTGGGCGGCCTAAATTTATGGACAGGCAATTAAGGGAGAGAAAAAAACATTTATTGAATCACGAGCTGGTGTTTTTTAAAAAATTTTCTTTCATTACTCTTCTTTCTTGGATGTGGTTCACTACATCATACTTCTATTTCTTGATTTTCTTTTTCCTGGCATCTCAGTGCTTTTTTTTTTTTTTCCTTAATTTTAGAAAAACGTCCTCTCTTGTATCCTTTCTTTCTTAAGTAAATTATCTTGTTCTCTTTTTGCAATGAGGAGGTGGCTTTATTTCCAATAAATATGGTTATTGTTGGACCCATTTTATTTCAAGAAAAGAGGCTGTGACTTACCTGATTTTATTTCCTATTGCAGAATCACATGATGCTTTTGAAGAGTTGCATTTTTCTTGAGGACAAGTTTGCTTTAGCAAGGATAGTATCTGAAGATAATTCTCAATTAAACTGTATCCCTTAACACCATTTGCCAGAATTTAGGCTGTCAATTTTCTTGCGCGAAGAAGAAAGTTCAAGAAGAAGGTTCTTGGGCCATGCTAAAAATCTGTGTTGTTAAATGAATTTTATGTATCAAGGTTGGTATAAGTGCAAAAAATGCAACTATCTTTTGAGTTTTATTAAAATGGTTAGGTCATAGCTATAAATCGTTGATAGAGAATGTTACCAGTTTCTGTGTCTGTTTGTGTAATATATATATGGCATAGTGTTTGCATAGCACCAAGGAGGAGGTTAGATAGGAAAATATGATGTCATTGACCAAGTGTTTTATGTGTCAAATGAACACGAGGAGCTGGCTGAGTCCCACATACACATCTCCGTCCAGACCTGCATTCCTTGACTTGCGTGTATTTGTGATCTGTTGGGCCAGCTTCTCTAATTTTATTGAGAATCTTGGAACATTTGATGAAAAGTTTGCAGTATTCAAACAGAAGTAATTTGTCTGCAGGAGTAAGAAGACAATATTCCATGACTTAAAGAGAAGAAGATGTTGGACAAACTGACTGTGCACCTCTTATTTGGCTTTACAATCTATCCAATAATTTTTTATATTTCTTGGTCTTATGGCAAGCAATCAAAATCTTATTAAACTCTTATTGAAAAACAAAGGGTTGTCTAACTAGGTTACAGTGGCTGGTAAATTAGAAAGAGTCACAGTCTTAATCACTTGGTTTTTATCTTTGCAATCTTAAGATTTTTAATTCATAGTATTTTTGCGGGGGTGGTGACAAAGGGGAGGCAGATTCATCATCATTAGCTCCTTTTGTAGATCTTAGTTTTGGTTTATGTGTTGTCTTTAAGTAGTTCCTTTATTTGTACATTTTCAAGGTCAAGCTTCCTGTTCCATGCTAATATTTTTTTTTTATTTTTGGGACACAGTGCTCTTCTGTCTTATGACTTATATGAAGAGCTTGATATAAATGAAGAGGTTTCCACGAAGAGCTGATAAAAATGAATAAGCATTTCTGAAAGGATATGAACATAACTAGGCCACTTTAGAAGGTTCCCAAAAGTGAAGGAGGGAAATAATGGAAAAGAATTGAGCCTTATCACCATATACTCTTTTCCTTTGTAGTTGTAAGACTTAAGATTTTAAGAAATGGAATTAATTTTAATTCATAAAGGCGGGAGCACTAGAGAAAAAAACTTAAGCCAGCTTTTTGGTTTTTGTTTTTTTTTTTTTTTTTTAAATTAGTGCTGATGCATTTTTTTTCAACTTGGTGTCACAATTATTGAATGTTAGCTAATGAATGTATTACAGTTCCACCCAACAAAAAAGTAGTGCTTTGAATAATAGTGTAAATCATATAAAATTTGCTATGAATTTTATATACTGTATGAAACTTGTACTTTTAAGTCACCTGTCAACAAACTACAGGACGTCCAAATGCTGTAGAAGTTGGAATATTTGAGAATAGGTGGATTTGACATTATTTTCATATGGTTACTATGAAAGATAAAAACAGTATCAAACTCTGCAAAACAAACAGTCAAAGCATAAAACTTTGTAGACTGGAGTTGCCCAAACATGCAAGATTGTTTAAAAAGTGTTTGTTTTCTTTCAGCATGAATATTTGTATCCCCCAAAAGAACACTTTCCAGTTGTTTTGACCACAAGCTTGATAGTTATTTCACTTGTATCTTTCTTTAAGGTTTTCCAGTGGAAGACTTGTGTAGGTGATCACCAAGGTTCGGAAAGCATGTGGCACAGAAGATGACTCACAATGACTGTATTTCATAGTTTTTTTCATTTATATATTTTTAAAGTCCTGGTCCTTCAGAGTATCTCATCTTCTCATACCTGGAAGCAGACTCCTGCTGCAGCTTCAGGCGTGACCATTGTGTAGGGCCCTTCCATCATGTGGCCTCAGGATTAGCAAACCATTGGCAACATTCCCAAGTTTGGCACCCAGGGACAGCACCTACAGCAAAGAGTTGTAATGGTGTTCAAGATGTGCTTGGCATCAAAGAACTTCAGCGTTTCTGTCACTGCAGTGGTGGTAATGATAGTGCAGTGAGGTATATTGCCTCTTCCATATGGTCTACAGTTTTAATCAAAATTAGTAAAACCGGTTGCAAAACAGCAGTACATCATCCTAAAAGATAGGGCTTTCCCCCCCCTCCCCCCATAGAAATAGGTTAATTAAGGTTTTAACATTCATGCTTGCCACTCAGCATTTCAAAACTCTTGAAGTCTACAGTACAAGCAAAAAAGTGACAAAAAAAGGTGAAATCTCAATTTATCCATCGTGTGAGTTTTAACTTCATAGTGTCACCTTCGGAGCTTTACTTTTCAGTTTGTGTGTTCTGAAATCAAGAAATACTGAGAACAAGTATTTCTTTTAAAATACTAAAAACAAGTAAAGAAAGAAACCAAAAAGAAATCCCCATTTTTTGTGCTGACAAAAATGGCGAAAACATATATGCAAAATGTGTGTTTGATTTTTTTTAATATAGCTGGTTCCTTCTGTAACGTATTTGATTAGTATTTCAGACAGGGAAATGAGCATATGCTTACTTCCAGCATATGTATTAGAGTGGTTTTTTAAACATTAGAAATTAGGTTCTGTATGGTGTTCTTTTCAAATCTCTGGAATAACAATATAAATACTTGGTGGTGAAGATGAGAAGTTTTGAAGTGATACCAGACTGTGTTCAAACTAACAGCTTTAATAGTCTGGCTTCTGAGACACATAGCTGATTTTCTTTGCTGATCTTATTGAGATAGAAATTGGATAAAAATATGGGATATTTCAACAGTTACCTTTGCTA